CCGCTAAATAACTGAAAAGTGATTGAGAGCTAATCAAATCCCAGGCTCAGGGCGCCCGGTCTCACCGTCATAAAACCCCTAAAAGTGCAAACGACTTTCCCTTACTTTGTAAGTGTCGCATCTAGGGCTCAGAGAGGGCAACCCTGCCACCAAAGGCACACAGGAGCCCGACCCTCCAGCAGCCAGAGTACTCTTCTTGGGGGTCCTCTCGCCACCTCGTCTCCCCCCTCGGGGAGGGGCCGGTCCGAGCCCCTCCTGCTCCCCGCCCCCGAGGGGCGGCCCGGGGGGCGGGTGGAGGAAGTGAGCGCAGCGGGGTGGAATGCGCGCGGGCGGGGCGGGCCGGCCCGGGGCGGCGGGGACAGCCGGCTGGAGGCCGGGACCGCGGGCCGAGCGCGCGCGATGCCTCACTTCACCGTGGTGCCGGTGGACGGGCCGCGGCGCGGCGACTATGACAACCTCGAGGGGCTCAGCTGGGTGGACTACGGGGAGCGCGCCGAGCGGGAAGACTCGGACGGTGAGGGTGCGCCCGGCCGGGACCTGGACTGGGGGCGCGCGGGGTGGAGTGGGGGGCGTCTACACGGGACTCGCGCCGCCGGACTGCGCGCGAACAGGTCCGTGCGGGACGGCACTTCTCTTGCTCCCGCGCGCGCTCAGACCGACGAGTCTTCTCGGTCCGGGACTCCCGAGCCAGGTCATCTTCCACCCGCCACCTCCCCCCAGCTCCTCCCCCGGAGGGCCGCGGGCGGGGGCTGCAGACGTGGCCGCCTAGGGAGGCCTGCCAGCAGGCTGCCTCACTCAGGCTGGTGCCGAACGCGCGACCCGGCCCGGACCAGGTTCAACGGAAGCCTGCACTGCAGCTTCCTCACTTTTTGTGACTCGCCCCCATCCTCTGAGAGTTATCCTTTCTTCCCGTGTGACTCACCGCCCCTCTCTTGCCCTCTCCCCATCCCTGCCTCCTTGCACTCTGGCCCGATCGGAGCGGAGGGTGTGCTTCTCGAAGGGCCTCTGTGGGCCTTGGTGTGGATCTGTAGGTCCAGCGGGCATCTGGGGAGCAGTCACACGGGGCCAAGCTTGTCTAGGCACTGTACATGAAGCAACTCGTTTTAATCCTCCCAGCCTCCCCCATGGGACAGGTTCTGTTACTCGCACTTAGGAAGAAGTGAAGGCAGGCGGGGAAGGGTTATGTAATGTGCTCCCAGTGGGATTCAAACCCGGATATGAAAGTGCAGTGCCTTAACCTAGGATTAGGGCTGGTCATGGATGTGAACCCTTCCCCTCTCCCAAAGCCCCCTTCTCCATCTTCCACCCCAGGAGGATCCTCAAGGCCAAGTCCTGACACACACTTGGAATGTGAACATTGCTGGGAAGATCTGTCTGTCTGTCTGTCTGTCTGTCTGTGTAGCTGTATAGGCATGTGTAAATGCACGTGCGTGGCTGAGTATTACAGGGTGAAGGGCAGGGTCAGGTCAGGACATCCTCATGGCTACTGTTTCCAGCAAGGCCTCCAGGGATGAGCGCGGTGCTATGGTTGATAACAGATGCCTTTGATGTCTGGGACTGACAGTGATGGAAACATGTAGGACATGTGTGCTGTGTTGGGTGATATTATCAGAAGCTACCTGATAGGTCTGTAATGGTGACATGCTTGGGGCGGTCTGTGACTGATGGGAATGATGGCTGTATCACCTGTCTGTCACGTGTAGATGTGGTACAGGCCAGTGGCATGGGCTGCCAGAGGTCATGGAGGTTTGTCAGACTTCACAGCTGTATGGAAGTAACCCAAGGCCCAATGTCCCTGGCTGCCCCCATCCTGGTCCATCCAAGGGGTCAGAACAGTCTCCCTCCTCCCCTAGGCCTGGAAGGATGTTTGTCTCCAGATGATGTGCTGAACTGCATCGTGAGCCTGGACCAGTGGGCAGTGCTCAGCCTTGTCTTTGGCCCCGCCTTGGTCCTCCACAGGGTGACAGGAGTAACCTGGAGCTATGCTGGTGGCCGGCTGTGTCCTGCCAGATCCCTCCGGGCCAGGCCACCTCCTCCCACCCCACCCCCTTCCTTGCCCAGCTCTTTCTCCTTTTCATCCAGACTGTGGTGGCTGTGTTTGCAGCATGGGGGATACCCTGCACCCCGGTGAGTGGTTTTGTTTCTTCTTAACGGGTGTGGCAAAGGGTCAGAAAGCACAGAGCTATCTTGGGTCCTGCTCTCCTGGAAACCCTCAACTAAAAGCTCACACTCTGCTCTGAGGGGCATAAGTAGGCCTGCTCATCCAGGCGGCCTGTGGCAGGAGTAGGAAGGTCAAGGAAGGGCATTGTAGGTAGATGCCACGTACATGGGGACCAAAGGTGTCACCCAGGTCACTCCCTACCATTGGTGTTTTCACAATGCTGGTAGGAACCCACCTGTGTGCTTCGCAGGAAACCCCAGGCCTGAGTTTATGCTCTGGTTTTCTGGGGGTCTCGGGTAATGTTTGAAAAGCTGGAGCCTGGCAGGCAGGCATGCCTAAACCTGCCCTGGAATTTTTGGAATAGCTGAGGCCAGGGCGGTAGCTTGAAGTTTAGGGGAGTACAGATCTGAGGCACCGTTTAGACCCTGCATATCCCCGTAATCCTATGGGAGGGGTCCTTAAGTGAGGCCTTGTGGAATCTAAGGAGTGCCTGCCCATGTCTGAGGCCAGACAGGACCTTTTCTGATGCATCAGGGAAGTTGGAAGAGGGAATGCTTACTGTCTCTACTTCAAAGAAGATGACAGAGCGGTACAGAGAGCGAGCAGTTTTCCTTGGGTCACACAGGGTAAGGGGCAGAAACTCAAGCCATACTGCTGGCCCTCCGGACACCCAGAGGCTGGGGCATGCGTACGGATCCCAGAGGTCTTTTCTATGCCAAGGTATCTTGCTACATCCCAGAGTGCCCCCTAAGTGGACTGGGATCTAGAACGTGAAAAGGGAACCCACAGCTCAGCTCCCAAGCCTGGACCCAGGTCTGGCGCTCTTCATTACACAGCCTTCCTTGTCTTGCCTTGTTCCTGAAAAGGGGATCAATGACAGCTTCTAGAACAGTCCAGGCCATCTGGGAGTGATGGTTGTAGGGACAGGGGATTAGCTGGGTCATACAGGGGGACACTGCTGTGCACTTGGCTCAACAGTTTGCAGAGTTTTATCTTTTGCTGTCTTTTTCAACACAAGCCTCACGAGGTGCTGGGGGTCAAACCCAGGGCTTTGCGCGTCCTCGGCAAGCCCTCCGCCAGCTGAGCTCTGTTCCTAGTCCTTCCTTCGGCTTCTTGTCTGTTTTCGCTCTGCATCCCAGGCTGCCCTGGAAACTACCGTGTAGCCCAAATTGACCTTGGACTCAGGCTTTTCTTTCCATAACCTCACAGGAGCAAGGACTACAGATTTGTGCCACCATGCCTAGGTCTACAGCAGTGGTTCTCAGTGGGTCCTAACTCCTTTGAGGGGGTCTAATGACCCTTTCACAGGGGTTACCTAAGACCATCGGAAAACAGATATTTACATTACGGTTCATAACAGTAGCAAATTTACAGTTATGAAGGAACAACAAAAATAATTATATGGTTGGGGGGGTCACCACATCATGAGGGACTGTATGAAAGGGTCACCGAGTTAGGAAGGTTGAGAACCACTGCTCTACAGTTTCTAAATAATAGTGCATTCTTCTTAGGAACACTTAGGATCCGTGGTGGGACAGCCTGCCGTGTGTGCATTTAGAATAATTTATATTTGTTTCCAGCCTCTTTCCACAAAGGGATCTGAAATATGCAACCGAAGTGCTTCCTGAGAGGGTGGAGAGGGTGAGGGCGAGTGCTGGCCGCGTCTGGGGGTTTGTTTATGGAGATTCCTGGTGGGCAGGGCAGAAGCAGAAGGAAGGTGGGCTATGGCGCTGTTTCCATTGCTGCTGGGTTGTTCTGTTTCGTTGTGGTGCTTGTTTTTGTCGTCAGAATTCCTCACTCAAGAGTTGTCCGTGGAAATGGCGACCATGACTGGATTTTGAGATTTTTCTTGTGATTCCTTATCCTTCCTGAATGAGCACAGAAGTCACCACCAATGCCGAGAGCATCTGAGGGACCACATGACCCCACCAGGCTTTAACGTGACTTGGTGGATTGAAATGACTGCTGGCTTTGACACTGGCCTACGCAGCCATTGACCTACACAATCATCACATGTGAAGCAGGGGGCCAGGTGTGCAAAGCCAGGCACACACACACACACACACACACACACACACACACACACACACACACACGATCCCAGCACTGGGGACACAGAGCCTGGAGGATCCCTGGGGCTGGCTGGCTGGCTGGTCTAGCCAAATTGGTGAGCTCTAGGTTTTGAGAGACCTTGTCTCAAAAACTAAGGTGGAGAGTGAGAAAGGAATACACCTGATGTTGACGTTGGCCTCTCTACTACGCAGACATGTATGCACACACACATCCACCACACATACATACACAAAAAAGAGTGTGAGAGCTGGGCATGGTGCTTACATCTGTAATCCCAGTCCTTAAGAAGATGTGGCAAGGGGATTGGCACAAGTCTGAGGTCAGCCTGGGCTACAGTTAGACCCTGTCTCAGAGAAGGAGGGCATGGAGCAAGCAGTTGTGGCCCAGGGGTAAAGCATTTGCCATATTGCTCCATGAGTCTGTGGGTTGATCCCAACACACACCAAAAAAACAGAGAATGCGCAGGCTCCTTTTCCTTGCTGGGAGAGGTTTTCTAGTTGATGAGGCACATTCCCACCAGCCTGAGAGGTGAGTGAAGGCTGGAATAGACCTCTGTCCTGGAGCAAACTGGAACCTTCGGATTCCTAAACTCTGGATTCCTTTTGGACCTGGGAACCAACGGATGACACCCCCTCCCCCCCACCCCCCGGCCCAGGACCGCTTTTCATGCTCCTACACTTCCTCTGCTCAACCCAAGATCCATCCCGTGCCCTGGCTTTCCCAATGGCTGTCTCTGGCTCCTTGAACTCATGTGAGACTGGCTCCGTCTCCCAGCATGCTCTGGGCTACCCTCCGGGACATCTCACGCGGTGCATGGTGGGGTAGCTAGCTGGCGCCTAGTGGACCATGGCAGCGAAAGGCGCCCTGTGTAGTTTCATCTTCCTGGAGGGCAGAATGGTGCCTGGCACTCTAGGTGCTCCAGATCTGTGGGAAGAAGGAAGGTGGGGCCTCAGTGTTGGTCATGGCCAGGCCCCGCCTCTTCAGTAGGCCCCGCCCTCCATGTACACTTGGCGCTAGTGTGGAGATTTGGAGTCTTCTATGATACCCTGGGTGCCTTTATGGCCCTTTAGGAAGGCTGACAAGTGTATGATGAGGAAATGGAGGCTCAACATCCTTGTTGTTGTTTTTCGAGTCAGGGTTTCTTAACGCTGTGGCTTCTTCCAAAAGTGTTTTAGAGAGACAGTGTGTTCGTGGCTTCTCAGCCTCTTGGCTAAGATGTGCGGAGCTGTTTTGTGGGTTGGCCTTTTGTGGGTTGGGTGGGGTATATAGGCTGGGGTCCTGGGAGGCAGTAACTCACTGGAATTCTTTCCCTCTCTTTCTACAGGACAGAGTAACCACCGAGAGAACAGCCCTTTCCTTTGCCCTTTGGAAGCTTCCAGAGGAAGTGACTACTATGACAGGAACCTGGCACTGTTTGAGGTATGGGGGGGGCATTCAGGTAGACAGGTGGGCGGTTG